TTTTTTCTATCTTGTGGAATATTCATTGACAATTTCTTTTTAGATCTATAATTTTTTCTTTGATTTTATTTTCACTATTTTTCTTTTCAAGATAAATATTTTTCATATGTATAAGAATAAATTATATAATTATAATACACTTAATGTGAATGGATTTTAGGTGAGCAACCACATGAATAATTCTGCTTCTTATGGTGATGTTTCATATATTAAACAAAAGATAGTAACACGATTGTCCCAAATCGAAAAACAAGTTTGCTACTTTGAAAAATTTTTAATTTCTTCAACTCAAGTACCCAGAGATGCTAGATAATAACATGTGTATTTATTGTATATAATTTGTTATATAATAATGCTTTAATAATGTTTTATCTTATGAAAAAAATTTTTATATATTTTTAATTATGCACGTGGTGGTTTACATAATTCCTCCATATTTTTAATAGTCCATACATTCAAATTTCACATATACAGAAAATAGAAAATTCTTTAAAATTCAGAATGTGCTCGACTTTCTTCGTAAGATGGGGATACAGTTTGTCACGATAATACATGCTCAAATATTTCTAAAGGGTTTTAGAATTAAATATTATTCTATAATTTGACATAACTATATTTTGTATGTGAAATTTATATTGTTTGTGTTACCTAATAATAAGATAAAAGTGTTACATTATTGTAATCAAAATGTCATACTGTAAATTGTATTCAGCGTATATTCACTAATAAACAATATAAATCATTTACAATATAATCGCCCATATTTTTCAAAAAGTTTGTCATGTCTTCGCTCTGCTTTATGAAAACGTCAACAAACTATTGTAACATAACAAAACAAAATGTGGGATTTAATATTTTCGGTCGCGATTGCCATTTGTCCACTTAAAACAGAAAGAATATGTCAGATAACAAAATTTAACAAAAATAAATTGAGGTTTATTAAAAAATAATAAAATAATAAAAAAATAATAAAAATAATAAAAAATTTTTCTACTTAACTTATAACAAATACATTTTATATACAAACTTTCTTACAAATAATGTTCATATTTTAATTGATTTTGTAATAATTTGATTATAATTTTTATAGATAATAAAAAGTCGTTGACAAGAACTATATATAACAATGATTGTACATATGTTTTATATGTTACAATGATATAATTACATTACCTCCACTAGTGAGAAAACCTGTTTTTAAAGCAGGATGTAAAACATTGTAAATAAAACTTTTCGATCTTTTTAATCGAACTTTCTAATCTCTTTTCGATATGCGTCCGTAGTATTACCTAATTTATAAAATAATTATTTTATTCAATCGTGAAGTGAATGATTGTAATAATTGTTATATAAATTATTATTGACATTTCATTAATTCAATCTTTAATAAGTTTATTATCTATATAACAACTTTTGCTAAATATAAGTAAATGAGAAGTTTTTTAATTGACAAATTTGAATGTTTTTACGTTATACTACATTATGTCGTCTGGACGACGAGGTGTTACATACAAAGAGTATTGAGAAAAGTCATACTTTAAAAATAGGATAATATTTGTCAAAGAGGATGATCAGCAATTTTCAAATATCTTCTGAAAAGATATATATGTTGTGTTGAATATGTTAAGAATATACTGCTGGAAAATTTATAATTAATTTAGAATATTCTTAATATGTTAAATTTATTAGAATAATTAGAATATTTAAAATATAAAGCTGCATTTTTAAATAATGATTTTGAACGTATTAAAAATACACTTGTCAACAAAATTATATTGCATAGATAAATTTATATCAAAAATAAATAATTATTTAAATAGCTATTTTATTATGTAATTTATTTAATTTATAATGAATATAATGTATCTTTGTAATAACTGATTCCTTTCTAAAAAAAAAGGCATGACATCGATACTCGCATCTCTCGAATTATTGCTGTCGCTTTTCCGCGATGCCGATTGGTTTTCTCGCTACGCTAACTTCGTGAATAGCTGTCATTGTATTGATCTCACAGAGGATCGTTTTGACAATTATGTACCAAGAAGTTAAAAATATTATAATGTAACAGTAGTATAATGAGTAAGTATTATATTAATTTTTGCTCTTGTGTTGAAAAAGATAAATAGCGAGTGCGTAGCGCGCATTTGTAATGTCTAGTATTAAGAAAAAAGGGAATAAAAAGCTAATTAACATAAAATGGAAGAGGAAGAATTATTGAATTTTAAAAATCGCACTTGATATATCAGATGCAGAAAAAATAGAACTGACGACGAAGAAAATTACGCATATAAAAAAATGTTATGTAACGTCAATAATATCTCGGTAGAATATAAAAGAGAAGCAGATAAATTTTGAAGAAATAGTAAAACAAATTCAAAAAGAATTGAAGGAATGAAACAAAAGATTCGAAATTTTTATCAAAATTTCACCTGATGTTTATGTAAACAATGTATACAAATAAAACTACATCTTCATAAATCTATTTCTTGCGTAGCGTTGCGATAATAAAATATTACGATACGAAATATAAATGTTGATCGATAAAATATATTCATAACATTGCAATAGTTACCGTAAGCACTGCAATAGCTGCCGACCAGGAATAGGTATGATCAAAATTAAATGAACGATATTTTATAAAAATAATTATTTCTTTACTTGTAACTTGATTATGATTATTATTAATAAGAGAAAAGTGAGACCAATGAACGAGCAAAAACGAAATGTTGTGACAAAAACAAATTCGAGTAAACAATTTATTGTAAAAACAATAATTAGCAGAATCACCTTCAATAAATGTTCAAACATTTAGAAGTGAAAAAACATTGAAGAAAAACTATCTTTAAAGTAGCCGTCATCATTTCAAAATAATTAACTAATATCTGATCTAAGTCTAGACTGATCTAAGTTTAGAAGTTTAAAAGTTTAGATCAAGGTAATATTTACAATTACCCGAAAAAAACGGTTTATATCTAATTATATATAATTATATATAATGTAGATGTAATTATGTGTTACGTCCAAGCTCCGAGAGGAGCTAACAAATACACTAATTTAAAATTTTGAATTAATTAATAAAGCTGGAATGAAGGAAGGACTGGCTTCGGACTGTTTGTTCTCTCCCTATCTCTGTCTCTCGCAGACCGACGTTCGCAGACAGTGTCGACGACGAGTATGTTCGACTGCGAGTCACTAAGTGAATCACAAAGTGAAGCGAGCTTGAGTACGGTATATCACAAGGATGCGTGGTCCATGATTTTCGAAAAAAATGTGCGATATTATCGATATTGCAAGATAAAAAAGATTTTATTAGTTCCATTACGATGTTAAATTTTATTAATTCCACGCAGCATATATACTATATGCGCTTCGTGTCTTCGTAGAAATATTTTTGTTCAGCATCATAAAATTCATTTTATTAACTTTTAATAATAAATCATCTACCAAAGCTCCATGAACCCTCTATTAGCGATCCGTAATGTCTAATGACAGACGTCTATGGAAGAGATCTAATAGAGATCTCATAGACTTTCACAAAGCGGAACTGTGGATTTCCTGTGGTCGTCTATTGGTCGTCTACTGGAAATTCCGAATATCCATGACCGGCGTCTAATGGACGTCTACTGGAGGGTTTTGTTCTATGTGAAAAGTGTATGGATGCTTTGATATTGAATTTTATCACTTTTTACAATGCTTTCTTATTTTTAAAATCTTACATTAGCTTAATTAAATATATTTATAACCTCCGAATACATAAATATTTTCTTTTTTTAAATTTATTTGAAAATGTTTAGCACTCGATTTAAAAATATTTAAATGTCTGTTTTTACCATTCCTATAAGTAATCCTAAAAATGTAATAACTAATAATTATATTTATTTTTTTCCGAAGCAAAGTTTGTTATAAATTACCGGTGCTTGTAGTATCAATACGATTTTCTTATTTATGTGTATAATATAACTATATACAATAAAATTATGTAACGCAAAGTGACAAATAAGTAATAATATTTATTTTAGACATTAGTTTTGTACATAAAATTATAAGATTATACGTAATATAATGTTATTATCGCTGTTGATAATCATTTTATAGATAATGACAGAATATATCATAATTTTTAAATTTTTAATAATTAATTGATTACGTAGATAAACTAAATAATATTAATTTAGTTAAATATCTTTTTTAGAAATAAATTTTTTAAATTTACTAAACATTACAGACGAACTACGCATACACTACTTCTTTTGTATATTCTTATATTTTATATTTTTCTGTTAAATATACACTCGTAATCTTTTATCTATGATAATATATACAATGTGTATGATGAATATGCAAATTGTAAAAATAGACTATCAGCAATGATATCAATTCACAAAATAAGTGAAGATATTACAAACACGCGCTCTGTGCATGTTATTTTGTTAAATAAAAAGAACAAAAATTATAGAAGTAGAATATAATACTCTTACATTGTATTAATTTTTTAATTAATACAATATACATAATTGTCAAATGATTTTCTCAGCCATGAAGTAAGCGCAGCGAAAGGATCAGTTGAAATTAGAGAAAAGAGACAATAATAAATTCCCAGAAATGTAAGTGTTGACTTAAGATGCTTTTTTTGTAAGTGGATACTTGTAGTGTATACTTATTAAAAACTTAGTGTATACTTATTAAAATGTTTATTTTTATTAGGATACTACATGCGATATCACACATTCGATCATTGCAACTATGTTTTCGATCGAAGTAAAGATAAGTTTAGAAATAATTTTTACATGAATATTTAAGTAAATATTCTTTTGTATGGATTGTTTTGTAATAGTCATAAGTCATAAATATTAATAGCATATCATATATGTTTTACGTAGAATTTTTTCATTGATTACAAACTTTAGATTTCTTTCTGATTTGACTGACGTAAAAATTATATAATTATAACTATCATAAGCATGATCTTACATAAAAAATTTAAAAACTATTCTGAAAAAGTAAAGGTAGTTACAAGAAAAATAATTCTGCTTTAATATTTCCCACTTTTTTATCCAATTGATATTAATAATTCTACAGACAGACAAGATAAACCAGCAGATAGTCATAATCATTGAGTCTATAAACTTTGATCTGTTATTCTGGCACAGTAATTAAAACATTTACTTATTAAAAATATTTATGTAATATTATGTAATGTATATAAATTTTAATATATTTTAAAATTTACATAAATTTTTATTTATAAATGTTGATAAAACGTTTAAAAAATACATTTTTTATACTTTCTAAATTTTTTAAAGGTTATAAGAAATAATTAGCATATTTAAAAGCATGTTTCAATTATTAAATTTATTCAGAATATTGATACTATCATGATTAATAATAGAGGTTACTAATCGATAACAATCATGTATAGTTTAAATAACGGCTTTTATTATAATATTTTAAATTATATCTTAAACAAATTCCAAAATACAAATTCTCACACAAAAATGCGCGTTTGAATCTTACGAAATAAACGTCCGAACTTTTAATTAATGAATATTAATGATAAAGGTTACATTCAATGCCGACATTATTAAGAACTTGGTTTCACAGTAAGATGTCGACGTCAAGTCAACATGTGCCGAAGATTCTGTCCATTAATGAGAGAAAAGAAATCGGATTGAGGATCCGTGCGAGATTCATTCCTTGCAGCAGAGATGAGTCCGACCAGGGTACGAATAATTGGTTATCGTGCTCTTATGCAGCACATTTAAGATGTGAAGGTTTCCATTTGGAAAGGATGGCAAAATTATTGTAGATTCTTCGTCCTTTTTCTGTCGATGTCTTCAGGAATTTTAACTTTTATTCACTCGCAGAGTGAAACTTCGAATCTCTATCCTCTTTCTCAAGCTCTTCCCCTTATTTCAATCTCTGTTCTCTGAAAATCGCTCCCTCTCTCACATATCTCCCTACTATTTTCTTCAAGATCTTATTCTCTCCCCGATCAAGTCCGATATATTTCTCAATATACCAGTTACAATCTTACATAGTTGCAACACAGTAGTCAAAGAAGATTGTGTGAAATGTGTAATACATTGACACAGAAAGAAGAAATTGAAAACAATTAGTTATTCAGTCAAGAAACACTGATTAGTACAATGATTAATATTCTATTATTCTTTATTTTTATTTTATTGGCATATAATTTTTACGTACATTATGGACGAAATGGAAGGCTTATCAATCGTATACCTGGACCGTCAAGTTATTCAATCATTAGAAAGATATTGCAAAGTTCACGGAGTAAGTTAAATTTTAAATACATTTGTTTGAATTAAAAAATTTTAAGATACAGAACTTAATATCTGTTGAATATTTTTTTAATATTATAATATTTTTTAATAATTATAATAATTTTATCAATAGACTTCTTTAATTCGCAATGTGTTTCTAATCTACATTTACGATTTTATTCAGATATATGTATTCAATTTTTTACATGCAACTACACACACACACACACACACACACACACACACACACACACACACACACACACACACACATACACATACACGCGCGCGCGCGCGCACACTCTCACACATGATACACAAATTTTGTTCAGCAACTTTTTCGTGATGTGTAAAGGTGTATAATTAATATTAATGCTGGCAATAATTGAATAAAAATGCATAGATAACTTTGACGCTATGTAATTCCGACGAGTGTATCTTTGATACATTCAGAATCATTAGCGGTACTTAAAAATGCTGCTTCATCTTCTATTGTAATAAATTTAATATACATATTAAAAATATAATAGACTAGTTATAAATTTCCAGCATTATGTTCTTATATTCTCAATATATATGTCTTTTCTGTTCTTTCAGAGGATCTTTGGAAGTTACAGATATTAGACCAATATTATCCTGTTAGTAAAGTATGGCTTTTCTCTATACCCTTTGTATTTATCCGTCATCCTGATGACATAGAGGTAGTATAACGTAAAAACATTCAAATTTATCAATAATTATTGACAAATTGATAATTAAAAGTTTCTCATTTACTTATATTTAACAAAAATTATTATGTAGGTAAAGTATAAACACATTAGAGATTAAATTAATAAAATGTCAATAATAATTTAACAAATAATTATTACAATCATTCATTTCACGATTGAATTAACTAATTACTTTAAAACTTTTTAAATTTAGAAAATATTAAAGATGCATAAAGAAAAAAGTTTTATTTATAACTTCTTACATCCTTGGCTTAATACAGGTCTTCTCACTAGTAGAGGTAATGTAATATATATAACATATATACATTTTACTATTATGTAAAATTCTTATTATCGAGTTTTTATTACATATTCCAGTTACGATCAAAATCAAGTTATCACGTAAATCAAATAAAATATGAACATTATTTGTATATAAAAGAAAGTTTATATATAAAATGTATTCGTTATAAGTTTAGCAGAAAAAGATATAGAACAAATATAAATGCAAATTACAATTTTATCATAGTATGTTAGTTATAATTAAACTTGTGTACGACGGAGTATAAGATACAAACATACTTATCTTTATTTTCTATTTTTTAATAAACTTCAATTTATTTTTGTTACCTGATATATTGTTTTTGTTTCAGGCGCCAAATGGCAATCGCGACGAAAAATATTAAATCCTACATTCCGTCTTGCTATATTACAACAGTTTATTGAGGTTTTTACTAAGAAGGGCGAGGACATGGCAAACTCATTGAAAAATATTAGCGACCATATTGTAAAGGATTTAATGTTGTTTATTAGTGAATATACGCTGAATACAATTTGCGGTATTGCATTTTGATTACAATTACTTAAGTCTTTTAATTTATTGTTAGATAACTCAACAAACAATATAAATTTCAAATGCAAAATATAATTATGACAAATTAAAGATAGAACATTTAATTCTAACAAAACAAAACAAAACAAAACAAAACAAAAACTTTTTAAAAAAATTTTACCATGCATCGTCATGATATTATTTTATGATATTTTGTACAAGTATATCTGTATTTTATACAAGTATATCTGTAGACACAGTCATGGGCATTTCTCTGCAAGAATTTGATTTGTTTCAACAACAATATCGAAATGCAGTTAATCAGATGTTGGAATTCGTGGTTTACAGGTAACTTATAGTATATAATAAATAATTACAAAGTATTCAGATAAATGAACACATTATCATTCAATTATATAAATATAATAATCATAAAAGTATATTCTCTAAAAGTTAGCAATTTAAACATTTAATCATCCAATCGCTTGTTTAAAATAAAATCTTTAAAATAAAAATTTTTTTAAATAAAAACTTTAAAATATTGAATGTTTATTATAATATTATGATAAAATTAATGTACTAAATTTAAAAACATGTGTCATTTCCAATATCTCTTAATATCCTTGTCTTTTCAAAATTATGTATATATTAATATGTAATTGTAATAATAGTAATTTTAAATTAATTAAAATTTAGAGGACTAAGACCATGGTTATATCTCGATTGGATCTTCGCACTAACATCAAAAGGTAGACAACAAAAAAAACTTCTAAATATAATACATGGATTATCTCAAAAAGTATGTAATTTTCTGTTATTTTTATTTTGTTTTTGTGTGTTTTTTATTATGTAAAGTTATAAAGAAATATATAAAGAGTTTATATTACTTTTATACAAAATGTATTAACAGGATCTGTAAATTTTGGGAATGTTATTAACGCATAAATAAAATAAATGGATTGACATTTTTTAGATTATTGCAGAAAAGAAACTTTATCATGAACAAACCAATGGACGATATTTGAAAAATTGTGATAAATGTACAATAGAGGAAGATAATGTAGAAGCTGTCACAAGTATGTATATAATCACATGTTATACTTTTACGTTATAAATTGATTTACATTATAAATTTCTTTTACAATATTGTTGATTATCAGTTGTGATAAGTATATTTAAAACTTAAGTAACAAATTTATTTGCATTAAAAATTGGTTCAACATTAATGTACTTTAATTTTTAAATCAGTATTGTTTGTTGAGAATAAATCAAAGTTGTATTATATCAATAATAAAGATGCGCTTCATGAGAGTATGTGACATGTCTTACTTTTTAATTTAGTTGAAAAAAGACGACTGACTATGATGGATTTATTAATAGCAGCATCTCGAGAAGGCTATTTAACTGATTCAGATATTAAAGAAGAAATTGATACTATTTTGTTTGCCGTATGTAAATTTCGAAACTTTTTTATTTTTTATCTAGATATGTAAAAATGTATGTAATGGTTATAGGGTCACGATACTACAGCGATGACTATCTGCTATGTTTTACTGTTATTAGCTGATCATAAAGATGTCCAGGTAACTTTTGTTTAATATCATGATTGGAAGAAAAATTAATTAATTTTACATTAACTCATCAGGTTAATTATATTAATAAATAGTAATTTATAATTGTAACAAATTTTTTGATGTGTATGTAAATGTATTAACTTGTGTAAAACATAATGTATAACAGTTTTTTTAATTTAGACTACGCGCATGTTATATAATTTTTTAAACTAAAGGAGCAGAAATTAATATAACGTCATTACATTATAAATTTCTTAAAATACACAATACACACAATTGCCAAATATTAAATCTTTATTATGACAATTATTTACGAAGTAAGCACTGCGAAAGCACCAATCAGCATTGAAAATACAATAACTTCGATAATTTCGATGTATCTAAGTACCATTTTAATGTCTCCTTATCATAAGTGAATTAGACATTACATACGTGTGCGCGTATTATTTATTTTTTTAAACAAAAGAAGCAGAAATTAATATTTAGTGTTACGCTATTAATCTTTTGATATACACAACTGCCAAACATACATAATTTATATATAAAATGATCTCTACAACAGTAAATGAAATAAGCGCACTGACACAGCAAATCAGAATTGTAAAAAACGATAACAAACTTTAATTATTTTCGAGTATCGATTATGTCTTTTTTAGAAGTGGATAGGTAACGAATGCATATATTATTCTATATTGTTTACATATTTTAAGCATAATTTGTTGGACACATTTAAATTATTATGTATTTTCTGAAAAATTTAATACAAATATCTTAAAATATATTAATCAATTTTAATAATAATAGGATCGTGTCAGAGAAGAAGTTAATGCTGTAATGCATGAAAGTGGAGGAAGATTTACTATGCAGTCTCTACAAAATTTGTCGTATCTAGAAAGATGTATAAAAGAAACAATGCGTTTGTATCCTGTCGTTTATTTTATATCACGAGTTACTTCCGAGGATGTAAAATTACGTATGTATCTAATTAATTTTATAAATGTTTAAAGATATTAAGGAATATTTAGAAATTTTATAGTAATTTAAAAAAATAATTTTTCAAATTACAATTATCTTTTAATACATTTTATTAATTATTGCAATTATTATTTTTTCTTTTATGGAAATATTGTTCTTTCATTGAAATTATACATACTTGTTCTGTATTAATAGATATTTGTTAGATAGGTATGTATTTTTTCAATTTGTTATGAAATAGCTTAACCACTTGTAAATTAAAAGTTATTTTATAAAATTTTTTAGAATCATATTTAATACCAGCTGGGACATCTTTGCTTATTAGTATTTATGGAGTCCATAGAGATCCGAATTATTGGCCAAATCCAGAGATATTTGATCCAGATAGATTTTTACCCGATAATATACGAAATCAACATCCATATGCATATTTGCCATTTAGTGCTGGATCACGTAACTGCATTGGTAAATTATTTTTTTAATATTATTTTCAATACTGTTTTTAACAGTTTTCAATCTTCTTCCAAATTAAATAGATTGCAATAATACATATAATTGTAGGACAACGATTTGCTTTATTGGAAATGAAGTCTTTCGTAGCTTCTTTGATATATAATTTTTATTTGGAGCCAATAGAGAATTTAAAGGACGTTCAGTTTAATGCTGATATGATGATTCGTCCCGCTTATCCACTGGGTTTAAAATTTGTTCCAATCATTAAAAAACATGCAGATTTTAAGGGATAAGTTCTTATAGAACTAGAACATAAAAGAATATAGAAGTGCTAATATTAAAAAGTTTAAAATATTACTGTACTAAGTGTTTCGTCTATTTATGATTCAACTAGGAAAAGAATAATTTTATATAAAAAATAAATCGAAAATGTAAAATATAACTTTTTCATACTGAGAGATTTTCTTTATGCAAGAGAGGTTTTATTTTGCAAAATTTTTCATCGGTAGATGCGTGAGCATATTTAGATCTCAATTATACGAAATCTCGTTATAGATTTTTTTGTTCATAGTTTATATTCACAAATATTCTTCATGTTACAAATTATTTTATATGTATTTCGTACATATTTTAGATATGTGAATTTATGGTTTATGTTTAATAACTATAAAAAAAATATATATATGTATAAATAAAAGATATATATTAGATGTATTAGTTACATGAATTGTAATTAAAGATACATGGATGTTTTGTATACTAAATTGTATACTAAATTTAAATTTTTAAAATTAAAAGGTTTGATTATATTAAATAAAGTTATATATAAAAGTAATATGTATGTTATAATCAAGCCCCGAATGTATTTCTGTTAAGCTCGCATTCCCGTCCCACAAAAAATCGAAAAAATTATATGTCCAAATTAAATATCTATTTATGTGCTAATTATGTGTTCTAGTCCCGATTTTTGTGCTCGCGCAGTTTAGCAGGAAATGGGAATTGAAAAGGGGAGGCTTAACAAAATTTAACACCTTCGGCGCATTAAAATTACACACAAAATTGAACATTTTATATAATGTACTATTTCTCAGGTACTACATTTCGTTAACTACCTTGTAGGACAATTATGTCTTGCATCAAGCACATACACAAAAATACGCAAATAATAAATGCATGTTTAAACTTTGATTATGATTTTGCTTATACAGAAAATTTGATAAATTTTGCATGCAAGAAGGACAATCTATCGGTAGTTTTCTAATTATTATGTTTAGTGAAGTTTTTGTACGATTCCTGTTGCCGATATGCTGACAGATTATGCCAGCAGATTCTATTTGATTTCTGTTACAATTTTGCTGCCACGACGTGATGAACACATTATGTTTGACTTTTGCTACTTTTTATTTACAACAGGTGATAAAGCAGATCGTGCCGTATACCTGTCGCAATTTTGCCTTCACGATGTGATGTACCTTCACTGTACTCCGTTTCTGCTGCGTTTCTGCTGCCAGTAGTCTCTGATGTCACAGATTGTGTTGCATTCTTGCTGTCATAGTGTGAAAGAATAGATATGCCAGATTTTTTACTACATTTTTGCAACATGTCTTGACGGCATATCATACTAAATTTTGAAGTATTTTCTGTTGAATATTGTGTCAACACAAAATGCTTGAATTCTGATGTACTTATGACGACAAGCTTTGTTCAATTTTTACAATATTTTTGCAGCATGTTATGATGCAGACCTTGCTCGGTATGTGCTACATTTTTGTTGACAGTATCTGTTACAACAGCCCATGCTGCTCGATTTTTGCCACCATAAAGCGTAGCATAACTTCACAATTTGTGCTTTTGGCACGTTTTGCTATCTGAAATGTATATACTGAATATTCTTCTTCTAGTTATCTTATACCATTTTTGTGTCATGCTACGCATTTTGTGTGTAATGAGTCTTATAACTGTAAGTCACTGTAAATTATTAAAATTCCCTGCATGGATGTATTAGTCATTAGTTAATCAAGTTAATACGCACACTACTGGATGGCCAATGAAAGATCGCGCTGACGACGTATTAACTTTTAGAACTTTTTATTAATACAACAATAAATGATAATTGTACCGCATAATTTTTTGATTAATAAGAAACTCTTATGCGAAAGTTGATACCAAATTATATACAGTTACTGAGACCTAAGGTAACAAAAGTTATGCTTCGATAAAACGCATATTTTTTCTATTGTGCTAATCTTCGTTTGGCAGAGTAATAATAATAGTAACGTTAATAACATTATCTCTTATATTATATATTATTTAATCTTACAAAAACATAAGTATTACTATTAAAAATTTTTTTATTACTATTTTTATTACTAAAATTTTTTTATTACTGTACAATTCTTGTTCTTTTATTTATTTCTTATTTATATGCTGCCAACTATTTCTAAACGATTCTTTTATTTTTAGTATTTTCAGGATTGTTATAGTGAGAGTTAGAACAGACTTGTATTTTTTCCTTTATGATAAACTATATAATAATTATTAACATAAGAAAAACAAGCTCGGGAGAAAATTATTTTATAAATTGAAAAGAAAAAAACAATATTCTTTTTTAATGAAAACATATTTCTTCTTTGAAACTATAATTTGTTTAAATAATGTTTTACTTTATTATTATATATTATTTTATATATATATATATATATACGTACACGCGGTACACTATACATATAGTACTTTGCTAATGAGCCATCTATGATCTTACTAGTTCTTAGATCTTACTAAT